GGAGAGTAAAATTAATGTTCTACAAATTTTTAAAGTTGGACGTATGAAATTGGATTTAAGATTTTCATATTTAGTTATTAATCAAAAACTAATAACTGTAATAACTCGTTTTGAACAATTATAAATTTTWATTTTTTTTGGGTATTTTATACCAAAAATATCAAAAGATTCAAAATTGAATAAAAGGTTCTTTAAAAACTGTTTTAATAGCAGTTGATACAATTAATGATTCATAGGCAAGGCTATTTTTCTAAGTCTTTACATTTCAATTTTGAAAAATGTTGAAAAAGCTTGAAAATTTAGAACAATGATTTTCATAAATAGTTCATACTGTAATTGAGAAATCTAAAAAATATTAAACATAGTTATTTTTAAAACACATTTTAAATTCAAATTTGGATGAAATTATAAATTAAATCCAAAAATCGTGATTTTAGTAATAAGTTAAAAATATTATTTGTTGGTACTTAAAAGTTTCATATTAATAATTTAAATTTAACTACTGCAGCTCTATTGATTGGTTGTAAAATTAATTACTTTAATACTTTAATCACAATGATATTATCAAATATGCTCAGAGCTCAGTAATATTATAGGTAGTCTACAGACCGTCTTCTCTCAGGATCGTTTTTGTATACAATGATTATTGAATTGAAATTTAACACATTCATTATAGTGACTCTCTAGACACCTAAAAATATCCCACTTTTATTTTTTAAACTTTCCGAGTAATTTTAAAATTTATAATAGATACTGATTAGTTCTTAGCAAATAATTACTATTAAATTAATATTAATATTACCTCTTGACAATTTTTGTGTATCACTTTTATACACTCAGATAAATTGGATAATGATGTTTGAGGAACAAACATATGTTTGATTAAAACTACCATAAAATCATTGACTTCTTGAATTGTCCATAAAATAAAAGCTAAACAAATTTTTATCATACGGCTATATCATATAAAAATTACTTATTTAAGCTATTAGTGATATTACCTGAAGAACATGATGCACTATTTGGAAAAGCTTTGTATAAAAATTCATGTGTAATTTCTATTGTAGTTCCAAAAAATACCATTGAATATTTTTTAACAAATGTTGACATTGCACCATCACGTTTTACATACTGTAATTGAGATTTTAATAAATTTGAGCAAACTTTCAGGAATAGATCACATGCCTATAATATAAAAAATCAGTATAAAACAAAACAATTTTTTTAATATTATATACTTGTGAAGATTTATCCAATTGATTTAATATTCTAACTGCTCTTCGAGCTGCTCGTAATCCACCTTTATGTGATTTATCTGGAGAAACTTGAAGTTCTTTAGTTAGGACTAATGTTAATGCTTGAATACGATTTTCCAATTTAGTTCTGAAATATAAAAAAATTATTCATGTCTAACTATTACTACTTATGTATAATWATCTTAAACTTGTAAGTATATTCATACAGGTTTTAGTAATATTCATGAAAATATTTTTTAAATATTTTCAGTCAGCGTCAGCGAATTCCAGGAAGTGGAATAATAAAAGGCAGGGATATGTAAGCCTTTTATTAGAGGATTTTCATGATTTTCTAATTTATTATAAAATAGTAGCTTCTTCTTCTACTATTTTATCCTAAGTCTTTGAGGAGGGTCATGTTAGAGTCGAAGGGGGGGGGGAAGCATTTGTGATTTTACGAAAGGTAATATTTTGGAAGGCCTGAATTTTATTTAAATTTTATTTTTTAGCCAATCCCCAAAGTTGGATACCATACGTCCATATGGGTTTTAGTAGTGATTTGTATATTTGAAGTTTTGTTTTTAAAGATGTGAATTTATTTTTAGAAAGTAATACTTTTAGAAACAGGAGTGGGCATAATTAAATCATTAAACGCAAAACAAATAGTAATTTGTATACACTATTTTATATTAATTATGTTGTACAGTTAACATTAATCAAGGTGCCAAATCTTTTTGTTTTATATGAAGTAAAATAATATAAATATATTATTATTACCAATGTAAATTTATTATTATTTTTAGTTTTTTTAGCTTTCATTTCATTATAGTAGAAGACTAAAGGAAGGATGAATCTGCTTTAAAAGTAACTTCTCTCGCTGTTGTCTCAATTTTATACACACTTAACATAACAAGTGTGTACCGGGTTTATACTAGATTTTTTTATATAATTAATCTAAGCAATAATATAAATTATAAATATATATTAGTGTTTAGTATGGATCCAATTTTCAGATGTGATTCTAATCAAATTAGTTATTCTCTAAATACCTTTTAGTAATTAAAAAAATATATAATTAAGTAAAATGTATAAAATATATACTTTATTTCTTGTTCAATTGATGTTGATATTTGATTTTTGTGTTCATCTAAATATTTCCTGGCTTTAGTTATCAAAGAATTAGCATCTTCAAAATGTCTTTGAGCAATTAATACATCTAAATCATCTGCTAAATCAATAATCCATTCTGGTAATTCTGGTTCTTGTGTTTCAGGTTCAAATGCTAAAATTGACAATCAACTATGTTTAATTATATTAATATATAAAAATGTAAAAACATAATATTATAAGTACTAAATTATTATGTATAAAATTTGGATTCTGACAGTAGCAAGCACCAATAAGTGTATATTCTAACTGTATAATTGTTTTACAAGTATTCACTTATGTAAAGCTGCATTCGCAACTCACCATGTTGATTAGTTGAATATATTTAACTTTAGACAGCATATTCCCAACATTTTGTGACCTACATATAGAATATTTAGATATCATATTACAATATAGCAYGGTGATTGGTGATTAGTRAAAAAGCGCAAAAAATAAATCTATTATTTTTCCAAAATCAGAATTTTGTTGGTTAGGTTACCAAAACAGGTCATTACAGATTTTTATCAATATTTAAAGACAATAAAATTAAAAATAACTAACTTCACACATAGCTCTAAAAGAGAATTTTTATATTACGTTTGGAAAATCTTGATATTAACATATAGGTATTACTAATACTCTAAACTACTACCCGCAAATACTAACTAGTTCAAATTTTCTTCCAGAAACCATCCTCAAAGGTGGAGATCAAATCATATGAATTATCCCAAGAAATGATGACAGACAGAAAAAAATTGTAAAACCAATACATTTATTACTTTGCTCAGATTCTAATTCTGAAATATAAACAAACTAAATAAGATTTCCTAGCAGCTAGGTAAAAATGRTTAGTTTCTAGAACTTTTATTTCTAACTAACTTTTTGGGATAAATTATTTTGAATTTAGATTCAACTAATTCATCTCTATGTACTTATAATCAACTATTTGATAATAATAATTTACAAATTATTCATATTTAAATATAATTATTTCAACTTAAGTCAACTTTAATTCTTACAATTATGAACTAATTGAATGGAATCTGTTCTTTGGATCATTTTATGGTCGATAGTACTTTTCGTTTTGTTTTCAACCAAGATTTGTGACTTTTTAGCGACTTCAAATTTTGATAACCAATCATTCTATAAATAGTTATAACATGTTAAATTAATTTTAAAACATTGCTTATCGCTAACCTTAAGTCCAGTGTTTGGTGCTTGAAATACTCTTGTTTCCGGAAAAGCAAGCAATTTAAAAGAATTTTTAATATCTTTAATATTTACAACAGCAAGATTACATAAATCATACATTGACTGAAATCTATATCTAGCTGGTCCTCGTCTAAAAGTAAACAAGTAAAATTTAAAGTCTACTGTGATACATGCTTTCGACTATAATAACTAATCACCTGCTAGACAACCAACTGGTAACAATACAAATATCAGTAAATAGATAACAATGAATTCTTTGGACTGGTGTATTTTCAATAGGATCCAATTCTAATAAATCTCCTTCATGCAAACATTTACGATCAGGAACATCAACTAAATTCTAAAATCAAGCTTATTATGTATACTATTACACATGGAAACTGTTTTATAGGTAGGTAATACAAACATTGCAGTTTTCAACTTTTTCCATAATATTCAGCAATTTATGAACTCTTTTTTCTTCAACTACATTATCTATTTCAACATTTTGAACGCCATTTACTTCTTGGCCAGAATTAGAAATTTGTTCGCTAACAATTGAAGAACTAGCCAATGAATTAAGTAAAGATGCTTGTTCAGTTAACAAATGTGACAACTGATACATTTCACCTTCTAAATCTATAAATAATAATAATGTAATTATTAACTATAGAAACTCACCAAACAAGATAATTTGTTTTATAACTTACTAGCAATTTCTTTGGCGGTATCAATAAATTGAATATAATTGTAAAATACATTTTTCTTGAGCATTGTATTTATTTGTTCACCCAAGGATTGTACATTTGTTCTCTGTTGTAACAATTCTTCAGGACCCATACATCTTTGAGATAACTCTTTTACATCTAAATTAATTCATAAATCATATGAAAATTTTTTGTTACTTGAATGTATTATATTTGTACATACATTTTTCTGGTTGATAATCACTCTCACCAACACTTTTAATTAACGAATCCATGTTAGGTAATAAATAATTATTTAAAAATAAATGTGAAGATATTTATACACAAAATAAAACTATAAGTATGCTGATTGAAAACAACTATGCATAATTATTGTGACAATACTGTTCCATTTAATAATATTATATGGTAATTTAAACTCTTGTAAGTTATACTGTTATTCTATAAATATTTTATAATTTTCCTCAATGTACTGTAATCAATCGGGGATCCACAGCTAATTTCTCAAGAACTCAAAGATTAGTAATTTGAAAGTATTTGTAGATGGCCGTTCACTTGTGTTACTACTCACTAGTAATGACTAACGAATAAATAAGACCAATTTGTGGTGAAATAAATGGTGGATAGCAARTACCTTACGCAGAAGAGTAGACCAGAGAACTAACAAGAAACATAAGTGATGAAATAAAATAATTAACAGGTTAGAAGGTTAGAACGAATTCAGAAATTTAGAATAATTGTAATAATAATAATTATATATTTATATTATATTATTGTTCTGTGATTATACTATTTTGATAATGCATTTTTTACATTGATGTAGGGTCTAAGTAAAAAATGCATTATCAAATGATAACAATTAACAAAACAACATTTATCTATTCTGTGCAACAACCATAGACCTTATATACTATGGCAACCACAGACTGTGAGTGAAAACTGAAAACAACAAATTGATACTAATTTCACTCGGTGCGTCGGTGCTATAATCATTTTAAAATCTACATCTACAGTCACTCTCGCCATGATTTAGGATACATTTAGGATATATAATTACATAAAAGATATACATAAGTATTTTAAGTATATCTCAAATCGTGATATACAGTATACACTAACTTGGATGACTTTTCGGGAATATTTTTACAAAAAAAAAAAGTTTATATTTATAAAAAATAACCATTGTATATATTATTATCGCTGTAACTAATATTTGGGGCTATAACTATTAAAAAAACTTGTTTATAAAGTTTTATAAACTTACCTCCCTCCGGGAGATTTTTTTTCGGTTCCCAGAATATATTGCAATTTACATTTTGATCTATATAAAGATTAATATCTATTCCATAGATAATAGGAATTAATGAATAGATACTAGCAAAATATTAGATATCCCTTGACTACAAAATTACTGACAACCAATAATGCACTTCACCAGTGGAGGATTTACGGCGGAAAATAGTACAAGGTATTTGGACCCACCCCTAAGATGTTGATTTATATTTATTTTAATTTATAAAAATAATATGTTCGAAATACATATTATATCCCCATTCTCTTCCCTAGAAATGTTGAAAATCCGCCATTGCACTTCACCAGTACCTTCTCAATTTGTATTTGTAAGCTTGTTTATTAATAATAAAAACAATAGTTTAAAAATCATTTTTCGGTAACTATTATTTTAAAAGTTATAGTMATTTCAAATGTATGATTAGGTATTTCGATTATGACTTTTGAGTATCATACACAAAAAAAAACAATAATATAAATTTTGTCAAAAACTGATATTACCATTATTTTTTCCCCTGATTAAGAATAATAATTGGTTTTTCTACTTTTGATCTCCTAGTACAGAATATATCCAATTAACTAGGTACCCAGAAGTCTTCAAAGTAAAAAAYCAATGGATTTTTTTACCACTTTAAAAGCTTTTTACACACAAAAAATAAAATATAAATGTCTACAATTATAAATAACATAATATGAATCATTGTGTTCAGAAATGATAAATTTAAGGAGGTTATAGACTATAGTGCCTTGTTCAATTTGTGTTGCAAATAATTAAACTAACATTGCTTAATGACATATCATTAAGCGAGCTTACACTTAAATTTCTTTTTAATTCCAGTAAGAGTTATTTTTATGAAACTATATTACCTATACATTAATCAAGGTTTTTAACCAAAAAATAAAATGTTTAATTTATCTAAAAAAGTTAAATATTTAAAATTTATCGTCTGATAAACACTTAATTAAAGATGGACTAGAGACTCGACACAGTTAATAAAAAACCTGTTCACAATAAACAGGCACCAAAACTTATGGATGGTCATACACTTTAATACATTTATTAGAGACCCAAGTAAACAACTCGCTCACTACCTGCCATTAATGTTGTCATAATCATAATTTATTATTTTACATTATCAATCATGTTACATTATCTTGAAAATATTCTAAGCTTTGTTATAAGTGAACCTCTAACCTCTTATGAAACTTCAATGAAAGAACATTGTTTGTGTTAGTATGTGGATTATTTTATAATTTTATAACAAGTTTTGCATACATAAAATAGCTTATATTAGAATGCTCATAAATCACTTTAAAACTGAACTATCTATCGTAAAAAAAATCACATTCAAATACAAATAATGTTCATACCATAAGTTGTATAAGAGATTAATTTACTCTAAATTTAAACTAACAAAGCTACACATGAACAACTGAGGTTAAATTTGGTATGTTACACACTTGTGAGACGGAGATAWYAAATACCTTTATTATGTCATTTTAACAGATATTTTAACTCCAAAATATTAACCTAGACAATTCTTATTTGCATATTAGAACATACTATCACTTTTTTTCATAATTATCATAATTATATATTTATAAAAACATATTGTGATGACAATTTAAATTTTAATAATAAAAATAATATTATACAAACTTATTGTAATATAAATACAATTATTCATCATGAGCTTTGTCTGATATTTCAGGGTTATTTTTATAAATATTATACGTCAATGCTGTTGCTAAAGACAACCAACCTAAATATGGAATCATAAGATAACTAGCCACTTTGTTTATTTTATAAAATGTTAAAATGCAACCAGCCACGTTTGTCCACAAAACACAAATTTCAACCAAACTCTGAAAAAAATTATAATGGAATATAATTTAAAATTATACAATAGTTAGGTARTAATTAAAAATGTAATCAGTGTACCCATTTTAACTGATGAAACTCAAAGAATAAAGGTGTCCATGCCCAATTTAAAACCAATTGTGATGCATACAATGCCAAAGGAAGTTTTGCTGCACCTTTAAATTAAAAATTGACATGAATTAAACTTTTATATTAACTTTGGGCATAAGGCATAACCTTACCAAAAAATCCACCTCCACTACGGTATACCATGTATGAGGCATATCCCATTCCTAAATACAAAGTTGTCCAAACTGGAGCAAACATATAATTAGGAGGTCTCCAGGATGGTCGATTCAATGTCTAAAAAAATGTATACATAAGTTATACGAAATCTTCTGAATTAGATAACTAAAATGATTAAGATAAAAAAAAATAAATATAATTTGTGATTACCTCGTACCATCCTTTGATGTTTTTCCGAACAAGGTTACCTACAATGAAACCACCAATCATGGGTGTTACTGTAAATGTTATTGGAATCCAAGGTATGGTGATTTTGCTCATTATGATTGAGGAATGTTATTATTCTTCAAAATCACCTTAAGTAATGTGCAAGGGCAATTATTGCTTAAGTTAATTTGACTTGTAATAATACAATTTTATTTTACTACTAAGTAGTAAGTAATGACACTTATCATACTAAAAAATGAACACTATACATTATATGATTGGTATCTTTATTGAATGAAAGAAGAACCACAGAGAACTTCCTATTCAGTAATCATAGAAGCTAGATAGTAGATAACTATTTACTATTTTACTAGAGAGCCTACATAATAATTATACTAGATAATAATAATTATAATTATTATCTAGGCTCTCTATATTTTACTATACTACTTTCATAGATAATATCTACAACCAGTGACCACCACGAATTAAAATAATAAAATATACTGGATACCCAACGACCTATATGAACTGCTATTTTTCTTGGACCCAAAACTGACTTGCCAAAACAGCTGTTGCAAACTACACCTAGCGCTTGTTATCATATTAGTAGCAACTTTTACAAAATAATTTACCGCCAAATTTCTAAATATTTGGAATTAAATAAACAACCATGAAAAATTATATTCGTCAATTCGTCATGTTAATTACTATCATTGGACATTGTTTATAACCAAGAATTAAAATAGACGTACATCTTAATTCATGTTTATAACTTAAATAGATTTCCCATTTTTCATTAATCCAAAATATTTTTTTCATTAAAACAAAAATGTGTTGTTGTGTTCCACTTTGTGATTCTAAAAGAAAAAAAAGTACTTTTGGTGTACCTAAAGATTTAGATTTATGGAAAGTTTGGAATGAAGCTTTAGGTTTTACATTAAAATCTAAATCCCGGATTTGTGAAAATCATTTTAAGCCTCAGGATATAACAAGAGAATGGATATCAGGCCA